AACAACTCGAGAGTTTTCACAATATAAAACATTAAAGAGAATGAAACTGGCTGCATTGCGTATTTTTTTCTGTAGGGATCAATTAGGATGAGTTTATGGAAAAGCTATAAGATAAGAAAGTGACAACAAATCAGTTGCTGAATGTTTGAATGAAAAGCTTCTAGGTCTTGCATCTACATTTGTAAGAGAGGTAAAAGAGATTCTAATACCTAAAGGCATTCTGCTTTCTCCAGCTGCTTTGAGTCATTACCTCTGCGAGAATCCATTTGGTGTCTAGAGAAAGACTGGCTGTGTTCTCTCTGTGACTCGCATGAAAGGCAAAGTATATTCTCCTTCCTAGTGCAGCCGTCATGGAATCCATGTCTGCCGCGTCTTCACCAGAGAGCGTATTTTCAGTGTATCTAGTGCTAGTAGAGCAAATCGGCCTCTAGGCTTCTGTTTGCCTTCCTGAGAAATCAATAAAGTCAGCTAGTGATTGAAATTCCATCTGTGCAAATCTTTCAACAAAAGTCTCAAGATAGCATTAAATGAAATAGAAGTGACTTAATGTCAGCTCTGAATGTTATAAAGTAACAAGTATTGGGAGTAACAGACGAGGACTTCGGGCGGCTAAACTGATGAAAAATGAAGGTTGGATCCTGGCCAAACACTGAGTGGTAATAATTGGAAAATTATTTTATAAGAATGTGGATGGTTGAAATAAAACCTGAGAAAGTGTATGACAATTCAAATTTTAGATTTTCTTAAGATTATAAACAAAAGGATTCTTCTCAAGAAAACACAAACCCAAATTTCATGTACGATTTTTAAAAATGGATGAATATTTTAAAAATAAGTTACCTAGTATTTATTTCTAGAGTCATCAACTGTCATATAATAAAATCAAATTTGAATAATACCCATATTTTAATAATATTAAAAACAAGATATATTATTGTCAAGCCTTTCCTTAAAGTGTTTTGGGCAATACATATGAAAACAAACCTATTAAGCACAGAATAGGTTTATAGGTATATTTATCATCTAAATATATAAAAATGAACACATTCCTGTCTTCAACAACTATTAGCTATTTTATCTCATATTAGGCTAAAATCATCCTTTCTCTGAAAAGTTTGTGGCAAAAATCCCCATAAACAGCTATTTCTTGAATTAACATGCAGCATGAAAAGGGTGGATATGAAAATATGACATTTTTTTAAAAGGCAAAAAAGATTTATGCAATCTGAAGAGAAACCAGCATATGAAAATATGACATTTTTAGTAAAAGACTCTGATGTTTTATTTCATTTTCGGTTTATCCTAATCTACTAACATAAATCAACATAGCATATTATTTCTTATGCTCTTGGAAAGAATTGGTTTGTGTAAATTTTAGGAATTTGATTTAATAAATGTAGGAATTTATGTCCAAAAGTTACAAAGTAACTATTTTTTCCAAATGCAGGCAACTTGAGGTTGGAGGAGAAACTGCCACCTTGAATCTGAGACACAGGCAGGCCCAGACAATCAACACCAAGATCTGATTACCTGGAAGAAAAGCACTGGAGCCACAAACTGGTTGGAACACTTCAGCGGTAAATTAGGTGAATGTGTGCAGGCTGAGGATGGAACTGCAGGAAAGCACTAAACTGCTTTTCAGGGTTGCCATCTTTTTGTGGGCTTTAGCTCCAAGAAGCCCATCAAGTCCTCTTTGTAAAACATGAGAAAACAGGAAAAAAAAACAAAAAAAACAAAACAACAGCAAAACTCCTCTTAGCTCAGGAAAGGGAAAGGGAAGAGTAATCCTTCTGAAGTACACTCAAAGACTTCACAACAAAGGCTTGTCCTGCAGGGAAAAGCACTGCCAAAGTCTTACCCTGTCTAGGGAATTCCTCCCACTCTGTCTGCTGCTCCAAGGGAAGGGGGCAGCTAGAAGCTAGTCAGTCCCAGGCAGGCTTTGAGGCAACAGATTAAGACTGCTGCCCCCAAAGGAAGTAGTAAGGGACAGGAGAGATGTGTATTTCACTGTAGAAAGAAATTGTGAAAGTCATGGGACTGTTTCAATTGTGACTTAAAGATAATCGAATGTTTCTTTCATCTATGTATCAACATAATGCCAACCTAGCTTCAGTGTAGTAATAGTAATTATTATTGAAACAGCTAAAAGAAGCAGACACTTTGAGAAGGAGTATTTAGGAAAGTTCAGAGCCACCAAATGAAGCAAAAACAAAGACACTGCAAACAAAGCCAGATTTTTAGCCAGATTAATATAAATGCTTACAGCAGAAGGTCTTCCCCCTTTCCTCATGCTGAGGATGAAACTCAGTGCCTTTGTATTGGCTACATCCCCAGCTCTTGCTCAATGTTTTATTATGAAATAGGATCTTATTAAATTGCCCAGGCTGGGTTCAAACTTGCCATGTTCATCCCTCTGCCTTCCAGAGTACTGGGATTACAGGCGTGCTATTCTATGCCAAGCTCAGAAGGCCTTTTTATGTCAGGAAATTCCTTTTACTTGAGAAACATATGTCAGTTTCACCAAAGGATTCTATCATGGCATTCCAAAGGCAAGAAGCATGTTTGAAGAAAAAAAAAATCATCACAAAACAAACATAAATATGACACAATGGTTGGAACCATGAGGCAGGAAATAAATAGCATATGAAAGGTCTTAGTGGATAAAGCAGATAACATATAAGAATAGGTGACTAATATAGGAAGTGAGTTGGAATAGGCAAGAAATAATTAGAAGAAAACACTAGAATTCTAAACCATAATAATAGGTGTGGGGAATGCTAGTGATGGGCTAGTTGGTAGATTTGACACAACTGAGAAAGATATTAGTGACTTAGATCAGATGTGCAGGGGCTGGGAATTTAGCTCAGTAGCACCACAACTGCCTTGCAGGTGCAAGGTCCTGTGTTCGATCCCTGGTAGAGTGAAAAAAAAATCAGATGCGCATACATCTAAAAACAGAACATCAAAATATCTAATGAAAGAACTGATAGCATTAAGAGGGAGATCAACAAGTCTACTATTATAGTGGGAATTCAACATTGCTCTATCAGTAACTGATTGACTAGGAATCAAAAAATAAGGATATAGGTGGTGTCATTCAACTTCATGTACTTGACATTTATAGAATATTTCAACCAAAAACAGAATAAGCAATCTTATAGCTAGAATATTCATGCAGCTAGATCATAAATGATACTTAAAGTTTAAAAGAAATCAAATTATTTTACCTGAGTATAGTGAAATTAAATTATAAATCAACAGCAGAAAGATAACTAGAAAACCCCTAAATACTTAGAAATTAAGTAACATATTTAAATAACGCACTGGTCAAAGTTGTCTCAAGTAAAATAAAATCCCCATAGAGAAATAAGGAAGAAAAATAAATTAGGAATAAAATAAATTGGTCAGGAAAGATTTGAATAGGCAGTTTACAAGCAAAGATTTCTAAGTGGCTTATGAATATATGAAGACTTACTTGACACAGCCATCAGGGAGATAAACATTAAAACCCCCAAATTTTGAAAGTAACACTTATAGGGGGTAGTGAGAATAAGGGCAACTTGAATGATGATAGAATACAAACTAGTGTCGTAACAATGGAAAACTAGCAGTATCTAAACCAAGTACATAAATGAGAAACAGACATTCTTGTTTAGAAATATACCAAGTAATATAAAATGGATAGCTAGATAGATAATTTAAATAAATTTGCATAGTGCATAAACCAGGACAAAATTTAAATTCTTCTCAACAGTGGAAAGTATAACTGAATTATGACATCATAACATAATGTTACAATCAGCATAGAAAATGAACAAACATTCTACATGTGACCAGATTAGTGATTCTTTTTCCCCAGCTAGCATTGGTCTTTGCTTTTAGTGATAAGGGAAATTAAAACCAAAGCATGTATTTACAGGAAAAAGTTTCATTAGAAAGTAGAAGAAAATAATGAGGATTTTAGCTTGTAGAGCTGCCAGAGATCAAACCCAGCTCTTGACAAAGAAAGTAAGGAAAATACAGGAAAGGGCCCCAACTTGAGCAGCTGAAGAGGGTGCACTTTGATGAAGGCTGGCAGACTTCACTCACAAAAGCAGGAGCCCAGCTTTTAAGGGTTAGCTGAGGTGGGCCAGCATTCAATGGCTCATGATCCCAGTCCTGACTTTTTAGTTCTGGAGTCCTCATGGCTTGAGGCGTGGTTCTGTTGCTATGGAATGTTTGTCTTTGCTCACATGGTTCAGTCATGTGAAGCTCTACTGCTCCTGGATTCCAAGTGATTTCAGGGCTACCTTAGGGTTAGGTAGGACAATGGTTGGAGACTTGTGGGCTAGGCTTACGTCCCTATCAATCCTTTATCTTGGTAGCCTGAGTTTTGAAGGGAGATGACCTCAAATTTTAAGGTAACAAAAGATACAAAATGAAAGACAAACTTTGTTCTGTTTCTAGCTACCTTTTGGGTATCTCTAGGCCCAGATGAAGACTCACTGTTTTTAGTAAAAACTACTTTTATGTCTTTGCACGCTGCAGAGGAAAACACAAATTGTACTTTTAACAAGTGACATTAAAGGCCTAGGAAATTGTTTGTCCTTTATTTCATCATCACAATCATAAACCCGAAAAAAAAAAAGATCCAACCCCAAAATAAGCCAAATTCTATTGTATGTGCATTAGTTAGCTTTCCAAGCCTAGGAAAGTTTGTCCTTTATTTCATCATCACAATCATAAACCCGAAAAAAAAAAAGATCCAACCCCAAAATAAGCCAAATTCTATTGTATGTGCATTAGTTAGCTTTCCACCGTTGTGACAAAATACCTGAGAGAAATAAGTTTAAAAGAGGAAAGGTTTATGCTGGTTCATTTTCAGAGGCTTTGGTCCACGGTCACTTGGTCCTGCTCCCTTTGAGTCTGCGGTGCTATATCATGGTAGAAGTGTGTGGCAGACCCCAGTGACTCACACCCCTTAAAAGTTCTACAGCTTTCTAAAGAACCATCTGCCGGAACCTAAGCCTTTAACACATGACCCTCTGGGAGACATCCGGGAACCAGGCTGTAATGCTGTCTTTCCTTTTATAGAAAGGTCAAAAACAAGCAAATGCAATTCTTGGTGTTAGAAGGAAGAACAATAATTATCTGCAGTGTAGGGAGGTAGAATAGAGAATGATGGGGCATTTTCTTAAAGAATATTTCAAGATGCTGGTAATATATCAGTTCAGGACCTCCTGCATGGTTACATGGCCATATTATTGTTGTGACTATTCAAGAACAAGTGTACTTTGGTTTTGTGTACTTTTCCATAAACTTGCTGCATTTCAACAAAAAGGGTTTATTTATGATGTTGAACTAAACTCCATGTTGTGGGAATATCATCTTGTTCCAGAGTTTATGGCTCCATACCACCCATGTGCTCTTAATCTTTGCATCAAAAGCATTAATACGGTCTTAAAATATTTAAAGAGCCACTTTAGCAGACTCTTAGAAAAAAATAACGTTGTTCATTTAGAAAATTTGACTCACATTCCAAGGAATTATGTAATTTCCTGTCTGATAGAGGAAAAGTCCCTTGTTTCAATAATAAATGATCTCTATTGTGTCCTCTACCATATTAGAAAAACATCCTTCTGTGAAACTCTTTTTAGGTTGTCAGTTTCTTTTTAGGTTTATTGATGTTTCCTCCAAAGGCAGGTAAAGGAACTGAAATTCCTGTCCTTGTATTTCACATTTGATAAGCTCAAGGTCATAAGCTTCACTACTACCAGCTTAAAATTTTCATTCATATTTCTGCTTTCAGGGGCTCTTCATTGATCTTAAGGCATAACAGAAGTTGGCTATATTTTGTCCTTAATTAATTGTTTCTTTTCCATCCACAAAGCAATAAAAAAGTATCATAAAGGGCCAGGGATTTAGCCTAGCAGCCCAGTGCCTGCCTTGCAAGTGCAAGGTCCTGAGTTTGATCCCTGGTACCAAAAGAAAAAAAGAAATCATAGAATTCTAAGTTACACGGCAATTTGATTGATATACTTGATGGTTGATGTTCAGGCTAGCAAAGAGGCAAGTGTACTAATTTGTTTTAATGAAAAGATTTTCTTTAGGTAGTCACACAAAAAAGTGCATTCTTGAATTAATGTGTAGTAACTTGAATTCTAATTCAAATTGTGAATTCTGGTAAGGTTATTTTAATCATGTACAAAATAATGCAGCATTCATTATTATTATTATTATTATTATCACTAATATTGATTTGCTCTGCTTTAGGTGTATAAAATCTGTCAAGTCCATCTTGAAAATACAAAAAGGAACATCAATTCTGCGCATTGAATGCACTGAATTATTAAGATGTTTTATTCCTCTGAAATTAAAATCAGTGAATACAAAATGTTCTGAAAAGAACCACTCTTGTATCTGTATTTTGAAACTAAAACAAGAAAGGGTTTGAAATTTTTTTTATGATAAGGGCAGGTGGAAGTCTGACCATTAGACATTTCTCAGACTAATATAGCTTTTAAGTATCAGAATACAGATAGCTGTTTTTAGCAATCTAGAATTACTAAAGTTTCTTGGGCCACAAATTGTATGTCCAAAAGTGTTAATTTTGTCAAGTACAGTTGTATACAGATATGATTGAGTCTTTATCCAATTTCTTTAGGCTATTGGTCCCAAGCATTAGACAGTATACATATAGTATTAGAAATCATATTATATACTGGATATGCTATATATTAGATAGCATACATGTATTGTTATATGCTGTATATACATTTTTGCACTATCCCCTCACTTTGTAATGTTAAAGCCATTTTGTCAAATATCTGTCTCCCCCTCCTCTTTCGAAATTAAAAATAAATCTAGATGACTCCTGCAAGAAGGAGAAAGAGGCAGCAGCTGAGTAATGGAAAAAGAATAAACTTGGAATCTGGAAGGTTGGCTTCCAGTCCTGGCATTGCCCCTCAGCATTCTGAGGGCACAGGAGTCTGAGTCTCAGCTTCCTAATTGTGAAACGTGTATAGCCACTCTTGTTCCACTTACCTCACTCGTTGTTGTTGACAAGTGAGGTAAATCCAAAAGCTCTGAATAACTGTTACATCAGTGTAAGGAGCTGTTACTATCACTTTTATCGGTATATTAGGACTAGATTTCTAGAGAACATAGCTACATCGGACTCAATCACTTGACTCACACAGAATTTATTTTCTGCAAAATTAGAAGCATCTAGAATTTCATTTCATAAATAGGGAACAGTTAAAATTTTAGAAATGAAGGAAAGTATCTGCCTTTGGTATCTAATGACTGCTAATCCTTCATTTTAGGTACTCATACAATTAAAGGGAGAGCAAGGATCAAAAAAGGCAGGGAAAGCATCTCCGAAGGCCCGAAATGCTGACAATGTCCGTGTATTTCAAGGTATTAGATTAGACCGAAGGAAGGGCTGTCCCTGAAAAAATGTGCTCGGAAGGGCACTCGAGGCCATTTGCTGAAGGCGCTGGCTCTGGTGCAGCCTAGTACCTCCCAGCTCTCCTTCCCCATGACCTGACTTGTTGGCTCCGGTTGCAGTGGGCATTGCTCTGCCAAGCTCTCCCTCTTCCAGCCTGCAGCAAGTGTCCCCACCCTTGTTTGCTGGCCTCTAACTACTCAAGTTTTAAGGTTTCCGAAAATCAGACACAGCCTGATCCTTCCTCAAGAGGCTGAGTTGAACGTCTCAAAACCATTCATTCCCTTTCTGCTACTTAGAGACCCAGGACGGAGAAAAGTGAGGGGAGGCTCTGAACTCATGTGCTTCAGGTCACACTGACCTCCCAGCATCCTCAGAATTTTCTTGATGTGCTTCCAGGCCTCTGAGCAATGGCCAGCAGCATTATCAGAGAAGCAGCAGTCTGCAGTTCCTGGCAAATCAGTCCACCCACCACCACAATTCAGAAATCCAGCCTGCAGAAGAGCAGGAGGGCCCTAAGTCACATCTGGCTGTGTGAGGCAGGACAAAGGTCTAGTTGCTCTATTTCAGGCTTCCCTAAGTAAATCAAGAAGGTTGGTATTACACAATGAAGTATACTGGCCTCTCTTCAACTGTTTATATACCGTGCATTTATTATTATACTAGATTTCATTAACTTCTAACTTCTATTTCCAGTGTTAACAACAGGTGATTCTTGACTGTTCAAAGACTACTTGGGGAAATTGAGTATTGGCAATAAAAGAAAGTGGGGGGGGTACAAAGTGATTGCTTAAAACATCTTTGGTAACATACTGGGTACAATTTTCCTGTCCTCCTCAGAAGGGTATAGAAATATACTCAGCCAACAGAGAAACAGTTTAACAGGACGGCAGTGCAGGATCTAAGAATGCTTTCAATTCCCCACGCTGGTTTATAGGAGGGGCATTTTTCCCCATTAAGCTTATTGGCACATTTAAAGCAAAGAATACAGTTCCATTCATCATTGGGATCTTGTACTTTTACATGATGTATTTTGGTTCTCGTTTTTTCCCATTCCCCTGCCCTCCCTTCGCCCGCTCCACCCTTCCTTATACACAGAGACTTTGTTTCCATTTGTTCATTTTTTCACATTTTTTCTTTTCCCTTATTCCCTTCTCCCTCCCCCTCCCACTTCCCCTTTAGCTATTTTCTTAGGAGGGGTATTTTTATATTAACATCAAATTTCATTAATCTACTAATAAGAAAACACAAAAATCTGCCAGGTTGTTCATATTAATAAGTTTATAGCCTCATCTGGCTACTGAAAATTTTAGAGCCATCCATATTTTAATATCATCATCCTTCAAACTATTTTATCTATTTTTCTTGTTCCAGTTTTAATTTTTCTTGATTATTGCATAGTATGTCTCCTTTGTGTATTCGTGCTCCCCTACAAATGGAGAAAATTCCCACCATGAGGTTTTTTTCTGAACAATATTTTCGCTTTCAGAATTTTTTACTTAAGTATGATACTCTGAAAATCAGCTTCCTCTACCTCCCAAAGTCAGTGCTTCAGCCAAATATTTTCCGTATTTCCACTCTGACCCTTCCTTGTATGATTTGTATTCTTTCAAACATTAAGTGAAATAAACGCACCTTCCTTCAAGAAATCACCCTTCAACTGTAGAACTAGTTAACAGGCTCCTGTACCAATACTAACACTGCTGCTGGTCTCGTCACATAGCTGGGACACTGAGTGCCAATCTGCACAGCTGTCTCTTCAGGCTTCATGGCTAGCTGAGCACAGACATCGTAGTTGTTTTGAACACTGCTCTCCTTACTTTGTAAGATGGCCTGCCAATTACTACATAGTAGCTAAAAAACATTTAACATGAGTGAAGAATAAACAAAACGTCATCTTTCTGGTACCCAATTCCTAATGAACCTAAAACCTAAAATCCTGGTGAAACATGGAACAAATTCAGGAAGACAGTGTCCACTACTTAACCAGGTATAAAAGCCAAGAAGGCAGAATATGATTCCTGCTTTGGTTGACAAAGTTTTTGTGGCATGCTGATTATCCCAATCTTTTCAAGTTTACAGAATCAGGGTTGTATGTGGTAGGTCTGTGTTTGTATCTCTGGCATCCTCTGATAGACACCTGCCAGTTTTAAGTCAAATAGCTTTAGAATCTTGCCCTGAGATGTAGTGTAGTCCTAGGACTCAGTCCCTGTGTAGTCTAATTGGTTCACTGTTTCTTTTCTTTTCTTTTTCCTCATTGAGTTTATTGGTACATTTTAGGTATACAGTACAGTTACATTCATTGTGGGGATCTTGTACCTTTACATGACAGGTGGTCTTGGTTCTCATTTTTTCCCCTTGTCCCTGCCCTCCCTTCACCCCCTTTTCTCTTCCCCCTTTACAAACACTTCATTTCCATTTTTTCATTTTCACATATTTTTTCCTTTCCCTTATTACCTTTCCCCTACCCTCCCCATTTTCCCTATGCCCTTAGCCCTTTTCTTCCTATTGTCACATTGTCACTGTTTCTTATCTTCAGGTTGTCAAAGCAGCATTATAGAAACACTACTTTCTGTGCTATTAGAAACTTGTAATAAATGGCTGCAAATATAAAAGCTGGAGTACTTCCTTAATGCTCCTTTTTACCGTTCTAGTTAAAGAAAATTCCAACAACCACTCTGTTATGTTCCACTGAACATATTAAGGGTTTTCGCTCCTTCATTGCTCAACTACCCTGAGAAGCCATCAGCTGAGTCCACTTGTTTGCCAAACATTATGAAACGACTGAAAACACGAAAAAGCCAGAGGAAAGGATAGTGGTGACAACAAATTCTTACTTTTTAAGCCACCTTATTCAAAACTAAAGAGAAACTTTCATGGCAATCCTCCTCACCTTTAGTGAAAGCCAACTAAAACTGAACCCTCAATCTCTTAATTAAAAAACTACTGTTTGTCATAGAGGTACAAAGTCACGTTCTTACATGTCTTTTTTAAAAAGACATGTTATAAGAGGCTTAACAGCCCTAATGACTACTATGCAATCTTCCAATTCTGGGTATATTTAAAACTTTAATCTTTGATCTTCTCCAAACAGAGTAGAAGCTGTAAAGCCTGTTTGTTTATCTATATATCATTGCTAATTGGAATCTATTTTAGAGAGTATTCGTGGAACACCAGATAGACATTCAGCTAAGGTTAACAAACATAACTGTACTCCACCATAGTCTTCCTTAAGTTTAAAATGTGGGGCTTAGATGTCCATTTGAAATGTCTGTGAATCTTTTGTTTCCCTCTACCATTGTGCTCGGACTATCAAAACTAACATGTGTCGGAACATTGAGGACTGATGCCAAACATATGGTATCCACAACCAGCTATCATAAGCTTTGGAATGCTAATTTCAGAAAAAGAGCCAAATGAAAATGCTTAATAGCACACACATGACCAGTTGAGGATTTCCTAATAGAGTAACTGCTTTAAGACTTTTGCCATGTAGAGCAGACTTTTTAATTTTGCAAGAAAAAGGTCTTTTAAAACTTTTATGTAGTTTATATAATATGAAAGTAAAATACAATTTCACATCTTTACTAAACTTCTGAATTGTCTTTTGAACCCTCTAGAATGGCCTGCAACTGCTTCATGTTATCAACTGGTTTATTTGGGTAGCCTGAAACTCCCCAAAATTATTGATGCAAAAACTTCCCTTTAAATATATATCATTCTGTGAAAGCAAGTGCTATGACAGTATACAACTAAATATTAATCTAAATAAATCTGTATTTATTTCAAGCACAAATCATGGAATCAAAACTTTTTAGCTCGGAAAAGAAAGCCAGATGTCACTAGTTTAAATGCTCCATTTGATATTTGAAGAGATTGATATTTAACAGTAGTCACATAACTTGCTCAGTGCACCCAGCTTGATGGTCCCTGGCCCCCAGGTGAATCTGTGATTTCATTCATGTATTCCAGTGCCTCTGTCTCTCCAAGTGATATCTCCACCATGTACCACACAGCAAGAAGGCCCTTGCCAGACATCAGAATCATGCCCTCGACTTTCCGTCATCCAGAATCATAAATGTAAGAGCTAATGAATCTCTATTTGAAAAAGTAATTATACAGTCTGTGATATTCAGTTATCACAACAAAAAAATTGCCTAATGTAGCCTATGAGAACTTTGTTGAAACAATTATTTGCTCAGAAAACAAAGCCTGGTGCTGTTAGGTTTGCTCAGTCCTAGGCCCAGGATTGACCAACAGCGGCTTCCTCGTCCAGTACGCATCAAAGCAAGCTAACAGGCCACCCTGATGCAAGAAGGGGTACAGGCCTTGCGTCCTGAAGGAAGACACCAAATGCACTTATATACAAACTCAACTGCTGATGACTATTTTATAGACTATCTCTCATGTGAACTAGTGCTTCAGGATTATGTAAAGCAAAATGGAAATGTGGCTCCATTTTGAATTACCAATGCTTTCCTTACGGTATTGTTAAAAGGCTTAATCAGGAGAAAAAGACATTAATGACAGTTTTGTCCTGTCCAGATTTTTTCCTTTTGTGATACGATTGGTGTCACCTTTCGCTCTGCTGCCCTTCACATTGGCTTAGACAAATATCCTGGAATCCTACGATGGAAGCCAGCATTAACTATCTCCATAGGCAAAATTGCTCAAAATACAGTTTTAACGTACAAAATGTGTCTTCTCTTTTATTTGAAATTCAGTCACCTAAATTTTTGTTGTCCTAATATTTATTTTCTCTTTTCTAATTTTTATGGTGTAAGACTACACATACACACAAGTATTGGTCATTCCCTAATGCAAACCTACTCTAACATTTCAGCAAATTGATGGTAAATTTTGACTAAAAACTGTCTCTGAATGGTGATTGCCAGTTGCAAAATAATATTACACTTTTAAAGTTTTGGATTAATTTGAGGGGAAAAGTATGAAGACATAGGTGTTGATTTTAGTCTGGAAGGCAATACTGTATTTCTGTCTTATTTGCTCTATGATTATTTCCTCATTTCCTTCATCAAACTTTCTCTGCTTCTCTTTCTATTCTTTACGTAATTTCCAATGTGTGGTCACCTTTCATTGTGGCAAATTTTCTATTTGTTTATCCTTACTTATGTATTTTAATTTCTTTGATTTATCTACCAAGTGAATTTAATAATGTAACAAACACTCTTAATTTCTATACCAAGTAAAGTCAGGTCTTCTTGCCAACTGAGGGATCGGACTTTTGGTCTGCCTTGGGGGAGGAGATACGGGAGGACAGCCCAGGCTGAAGGAGAGGCATGAAGGAAAGTGAGAGCTGATGAATTTCTGGGAGGTTCAGGAAATGGTGAGAGATCAACTGTGTGAATAAGACAAGCTTACATGCGCGGCTTGGAAAAAGGTTGAGTTTATAACATGTTTACTTAAACTGAGTAGTATTTTTAAATGTTTCAATTATTTGTCAATATTTAATAATTGGGACATTTGACATTGCATTACAAATTCCTAGTTCACTGGGAAAAATGAGTTAAAAGCCACAAGCTTTCTTTTTAGCATGGCAATATAACCAGAAGATGTTAAACACTGTAAAAAAAAAACACAAGATTTCAATGACTTAACACAATAATGATTTATTTTTTCCCAAACAATGGTTCAGCAAAGTTGTTCCTGATTTGCTACCTGTTTCAGATGACCGTCTGCCAAGTGATATATCAAAGGCACAAGCTAATTTTCATCGTATGAGTCCAGTTTCCTCTTGGTTCTTGGCTCTATTCATCAGGGTAAAAAGAAGAGAAGACTTACACAGTAATGAGTTTCAGGGTCCGGACCTAGATACAGCTTTCATCGAGCCCGAAATCAACCGCATGTGTCACCTAACACAGTGAAGGCGGGGAATAAGCTGCAGCTATATGCTCAGGAGAAAAGAAATGACTTGTGAGCAATAAGGCAACTTCTGCCCCATGACAGCTCCCTGGTGAGTGGACTCTATTATCTATCAGGATGTGCCCCGGTTATGTGTGTAGTCTCCATAGGCATCGGAAGGTGTAACTCAGAATAGAACATGGAAAAGCACAAGTTTAGAAGAGTGGAGACATTTCTTGCTGGAAATGGAAAGAACTTAATTAATTCTTCATTTAGTAGAAATTTTATCCTCCTTTTTTTAATAAGGGAGCACAATACAACTCTCTCTTTAGGTCAGTGGGCCATGTAAAGACATACAAGGAGAAACAGTTATCTGATATTTTGGTCAATAGCTCAAGTATTTCATAACTTTCAATTTTGTTTTTGCTTTATTTCTGAGTGAAATGAAACATTTGTGGCATTTTTATGGTGCCAATATTTTTTTCATAGTAAGACAACTGATTTATGGACTATGATTTTTGGAAGAAGAGAAAGGTTTAATACATGTCTAGTTGTTTGACATTTTTCTTTTTAAGCTTGTCAATTTCTCTGTTGCTCACATTGAGTTTACAACTGCTGGGATAAAGCTAGCATGAAAAAATAGCTTACTTTTGCAGCCATGACTCTTTAAAACATTATATCTTTTAAGCCTAGGAATTCCTATTGTGATTTTCCTTTATGTATTTGCTAAAGGAAAGTAAATATCTTGTCAACAGTCTCACCTTACTGTGAAGTGTCACCCAGGCCACAGGAAGTAAATTTTTCTGTCAGATTACTCAGCCACTTACATTCCAGAGAATCCTCAGGTTGTTTACAACATTATTCCTTCATTTATCTCCAAACCATCATTCAATTCTACTACACCTTTAAGTACATGATATAGGAGACACGGTGATTGTTGTTAGCAGAGAGAAGAGAGGTTTATGGTAAGATGATGAGAAACACAGGTTGGGAGATATACCATGGAATTAAATTGAGTGGACACCAGGGTTCACTATTTAGCAAAGTATAGAAGATGTAATTGATCCCTGAGATGGTTTTTAAGATCACAGAGCTTCTACGCATGCAAGAGAAATAATAATAATGTCTCCAAATACTGTGCCTTCATTTTGTCTAGCAGGTATTTACCCTAGACAGCCTGTTTTATCCCCACGGCTTGATCCAAACTTTTCACAGTTATCTATGTAGTACCTTGATTTTGGTTAGAGAAAATACAAGTGGGTTAAATAAAAAATAAGTTTCCCTGTGCTACAGTTGATATTTTCTATGAATGCAAACGTCTTTCCTGGACTCTGATTTCCTGCCTGTTGGTGTGAGATTCTAACTCCTTCCGGCATCGGCATCGGTTTCATTTTCCTACTGCCCTTCACAATGCAGTGATTCCATCTTTCCAGACCTATTTTTCTCCCTCTTCCATAGCCCTGCCTGGTCCTGGTTGCTCTTTGTCTTGCCAGTCCTGACTACTTTATTCTTACCATGAGGTAGTTGCTTCCCAGAGGCCCGATTTTCCCTGCTAATTATATGTATCTGGACTGTGTTAAACAGTCTAAGCTTGCACCATACATCCATACATTTAAGATGAAAATTATCTGACCGTTATTTTTTTTCTTTTGTTGAGTTTATTGGTACATTTTAGGTATACAGTACAGTTACATTCATCATTGGGATCTTGTCCCTTTACATGACAGGTCTCGGTTCTCATTTTTTCCCCTTATCCCTGCCTTCCCTTCACCCCCTCCTCCTCTCCCCATTTACAAACACTTTATTTCCATTTTTTCATTTTCTCATATTTTTTCCCTTATTACTTTTCCCCTACCCCTCCCACCTTCCCTACACCTTTAGCCCTTTTCTTCCCATTTCACAATGTCAGTTATCTCATTAGGATCTTATGTACTATTACAGTTTATTCCTACCAGAGAAACTATTCAGTATTTACACATGTGTGACTTATTTATTTCACTTAGGAGTATATCCTCAATATGTATCCATTTTCCTATGAATGAGTCTAATTTCTCATTCTTTATGGCTGAATAGTATTCCCTTTAAATACATAAGATATAGTGACCTTACACGCTAGCTTTCCTTCTTCTAAGAACATATTAGATAATTTCTGTTTTGTTTCTTCATTTTATTGTTATAATAGAGATACGTAATAATGGATTTTTGGACAGCTGACCCTTCTAAGATATGTGTTCAGTCAAATCTTCTTCATACATACACTAAAAGCTTTTAGTCATAGATAAGGTACATTAGCCAAGTGTGATGATGCGTACCTATAATCCCAGCACTTTGGGAGGCTGAAGCAGGAGAATCACAAGTACAGCCCAGTCTAAGTGAGTTAGTGAGAGACCCTGCCTCAAAATTTAAAAGGAGGATGGAATTAGCTCATTGTGAAGGTTGTAGGTCCAATTCTCAGTACTGAAAAGAAATTTAAAAGGCACATTAACAATAGGAATTGCTGTTGTACTGGTCTACACACTGGGTGAGGTAGCACAGCAGTTTAATGAAAGGTCTAATGCTGGTCAAGTTGCCTCGAGTTTCCTTTAACCTCCAAGGATTCTTCAGAGTGCAGTACTTACCATGTAGTTGCACCTCTGCTTAAAGTCTGAACAGTCCTTCTGACAGAAGCAGGAATGCATTTCAGTGGTGGTGTCGGAATAAGGTTAGAAAGTTTCAGTAATCTAATATTCAACATTTAAAAAAATGTCAAACAATCTTAGATAAGGTTGCACAAACAAATGTATAAAATGACTTCTCTAAAAATGGGAAAAAATTTTTTACAAGATTAATCATGAATCATATTCTGGATTTTAGGATATCATAAAATCTCTCTCCTATTCCTAAATTCGGTCACTTACTGTTATCATAAAGTCTGTGACAGATAATCCCAAATGTGTGAGGTCTTCATTAATCTTTCTTAACTCTTTTCTTGTTTGACTCTTTCCTTTCTGCCAATTTTCATATGTTTGATTTTTTATGGTGGACAAGAAATTTTACTTATAAAATCATAAAATAAAAGGAAACACCTTCCAATTCATTTTGTGAGGTAAGTATGCTGTGCCAAAAAGCTGAAAAAATACATCACACACACACACACACACACACACACAATCATACACCAAGAACTGTTGTG